AGCTCTCAAATCAGCAGCTTGCAACCCACGCCAGATCTGCACATCCCGCTCACTGCGCAGCTTGCGTATCTCGCGTGCGGCCCGCTCGACAACGTTTCTCCTGCAGATAACCAACCACTTGCATCCAGGACTACACCCCTCCTGATTCTGGTTGGTTTTGTGCCTCTCTGCTCGCCTGACTCCTGGCACGCACCCCTCCATCCGCATTTTTGTTGCGCAAAGTCATCATTCGTTGAGGGAAGACTCGGCACATCCACCACAACCCTGGTGCGACCTCGTAACCCCTGTCTCTGGAGGTTGTCTGCCTGTTTATCTCGCTCATCAGCGACGGCCACGTTTATGGTCACCTGCGCCGGTTACTGAGCCTCTCCTTCGTCCAGTCCCCCGCACGCACAGGCACAGGCTTAACAACCACTAGAGCGGCCCGTCCCATCATGTATGCTTTCAGTTGCCGAGACTCATAAAGGCCGACCCAGCTCACACCGGTGTCCTGCGCTCTCTTCTCGCTCACTGCGACCAACCGATCAGCCTTCAACATGTCTGGCAACTCGAGTCGGCCTCATTCACAGCAAACATTGGAGCACGCCATGTTCATGTCACACAGCCATACCAAGCTTCTTAGACCAAGCACCGCCCAGACAAGTCTTGAAACGCAGCCGTCAAATTCAATACCTCTTTCGGCAACCAGCGGTTCTTCCCTTGCCTCCAACTCCCAGCACGGCTCGCCCGTCATGTCACCAGACACAGCCATCATGACGACAAACTCATCCATACAAGCCTCGCCGGAGCCCATGCGAGCTCTCGACGATGATATTTGTCCACCCAACTTTCAACTACCGGAATCGATTGTGTCTCGCCGAGCCAGCTCCAGTTCGCTCAGACAGAGCCTCATGAACAATGCCAGCACCATCCCCGAAACTCCAGAGGTTATGGCTCTACCCAACCCTCCCAACCCAAAAACGAGCCTCATGCGTCGCATTTCGAGCCGGGCGTCGCGCGGACTGGCTCCGAAAAGACGGCCCTCCTCAGCCGCACCCACAAGCCGTGACACAAGTGTCGGCCCATTGCTTCGCCGGCGAAGCGACAGTAACACCACCGCGCCCCCCGACTTTCCCGCCATGGGCTTTGACTCGGAGTCAGACTACGATGAGGATATTCGCCACTTCAGGTCAATAACCAGACGAGATACCTCCGTGCGCAGTACTTCAGTCGGCAGTCCGGCCGAGTCGATCATGGAAGAGCTATCCGGCAGCAGCATGGCTGGCCCGACTGTGCCCTACACTCTCCAATGCGGAACACCAGTCTGCAAGTTCTCCAGCAAGAAGGAGAAGAGACGGAAATATGCATCCCTTGTCTACGACCACGATTCTAGCAAGCTCACGTGGGACAAGAAACGGCCCAACAAGTTCATTCACTTGGATGATATTCAGGCCGTACGCAGCGGATCCGATGTGCAACAGGATGCCAACGACTTGCACATCACAGATATCTCGAGATTATTCGCCATCAAGTACAGTATAGCCGGCAGGGCAGAGAAGTTGGTATACTTCCAAACCGATCGGCCGGACCTTTGCCAGACCTGGGTCAAATTCTTGGATGACATGCTCAACCATCGACAGGATCTCATGTCATCCCTCATGTCCTTCACACCTGAAGCCATAAAACAGTATTGGAAGTCTGAAATGGCGCGACAATTCGGCGATCAACCCCGGTCGGCGGGAACAGAAGAGTTGGACATGGCCGGTGTGAAGCGCGTGTGCCAAATGCTGCACATCAACAGTTCAGAGTCTATACTCAAGTCTGCCTTCTTCCAATCCGACATCCGAGGGCAAGAACGACTGAACTACAAAGAGTTCATGGCATTCGTGCGTCACTTGAATGTGCGCCCCGAGATCGGTCGTATCATGCGATCCTTCGCTGCTCAGCCAGAAGAGGGGTTGACCTTGGAGGAATTCCTTGTCTTCCTTCGCGATGAACAGGGAGAAGATATTGCCGCTCGACGCCAGCCCTGGGAGAAAGAGTTTTACCGCCTCGTCAGGGCAGCTCGTACAAACGTGGATGGCATCGACAAGGGACAGAGCGACACCAATCTCATGATGAACCAGGCCGCCTTCACAGGATATCTCACAGCGAGGCACAACGGCCCTCTAGCCGAGGAGCCTCAGCAATACACCTTGGATCGGCCCATGAACGAATACTTCATTTCAAGCTCACACAACACCTACTTGACCGGTCGTCAGATCGCGGGCATGTCCAGTGTGGAACCCTTCATCGAGGCCCTGATCAGCGGATGCCGTTGCGTGGAGATTGACTGTTGGGATGGTCCGTATGGGCAACCTATCGTTACCCATGGTAGGACCTATACATCGGCCATCAGTCTGAAGGAAACCCTGGTTACCATCAACAAATACGCCTTTGTCAAGACCCTGTTCCCACTCTGGATCTCTCTCGAGGTTCGCTGCAAGGAAGAGCAACAGCGCGTGATGCCTACACTCATGCGCGAAGTGTTCGGTGCACGCCTTGTCGAAGAAACCCTCGATGGCAACTACTCCGTACTACCATCGCCCTCACAGCTTTTGGAGCGTATCCTCATCAAGGTTAAGAAGGCAAAGGAACTTCCAGGCGCTGCGAACGGAGGACGACGTCGCGGGAACAGCTTAACCTCACCCATGATCAGGCCCACCATCCCCGATGCCGCGCTGATGCCTACGTCCCAATCGCTTCCGCAGAGTCCGATGCTCACACCCATGTTGGCATCACGCAGGATTCCGAGCAAGAATCGCGTCAACACCATTGCCGAGGGAAGGGTTTCCGACATGGTGGGCGATGAGGGCGCCGATATCGAAAGTGGTAGTGACGCTGGCTCCTATGAGTCTGAAAACGCCACTACTGTCAAGGCTTTGGGCGATCTCGGGGTCTACTGCGCTGGTGTGAAGTTCAACGGGTTCGACTCCCCGGGAGCGAAGGAATTCAACCACATCTTCTCTTTCCAAGAAGGAACCCTTGCCAAGAACATCCGCTCCAAGGAGATGAAGATGGCCTTGGACATTCACAACATGCGGTATCTGATGAGGGTCTACCCATCCCCATCTCGTGTCTTGTCCAGCAACTTTGACCCGCTCTGGGCCTGGCGTCGCGGTGTGCAGATGGCTGCCCTGAACTGGCAGACAAACGATGTCGCGCTTCAACTCAACCGCGCCATGTTCGAAGGCGGGACCGACTCTTCTGGCTACGTTCTCAAGCCTGCCAAGCTACGCAATATCCAGGTGATTCCGTACAATAAGGACATTGCCGAAGGCAAGAAAGAGCGATCTATCGTCTCGTTCAGCATTGACGTGCTCTCTGCGCAGCAGTTGATGCGCCCCGCATCACTGCCTGCCAACCGAGAGATGCACCCCTATGTCGAGGTTGAGGTCTTCAACGGCCATGGCAGCAGTGAAGGCGAGGGCGAGCAAGAAGACGCCATCGCCAGCCGCAACCCCGAAAGGCAGCAGACTGACATTGTCTATGGCAATGGCTTCAATCCGTTCTTTCGCAGCGCCCCGATGACCTGGACACTGAAGACCAAGCATCCAGAACTTGTTTTCGTCAAGTTTACCGTCAAGCTGTCGCCGAATGGCGAGACGTATAGCTCCAACACCAACGGCAAAGATGCCATTGGGATCGCCTCGTGGACGGCTAAGCTTCAGAACCTGAGGCCGGGCTACCGTACGCTTCCGCTCGAGAACGATAAGGGCAAACAGTACCTCTTCTCCTCGTTGTTTTGCAAAATCCACATCGACCCCATCGAGAAGGCTATGGTGGACGTGCCTGCTGACAAGCACGAGAGAAGCAAGCTGAAAAGCCTCGGAACCAAGGTCTTTGGGCGGATGGCTGCAAGCCCTCGTGCCACAATGGACAAGGGCAGTGTGGAGAAGAGGAGTTCCGAGAGTGCTCAGTAGGAACGATATCTCTGCTCAGCGCATCATCCACCGCCTCGGGCGTCCAGGGCTCGTGGTCACGGCGCATCCCCCGTCCTTCGGGACACATCCCGCCTTTCCAGTGGCTTGGTTTCGCTACCATCACGGTCCCGGCGACCGACCAACGAAGATGGTACGCCTTGACCAGTCACTGATGTACTTGTCACTACCTTTGGCGTGATTTTCTATTTGTTTCATTTGTTGGCGCTTGGGTATGTGGGAACTTGCGCGAGAATACCCTTCCTTCTGGTCGAGAAACGACGAGCGTGATTTTTGCAATTTTGGGAAATACTTCGACATCGACAAAATCCTACACAGCATAGCATCGGAACTCGAATTGGGGGCGAATCAAAGCCACACGACGTGGACTCCAGCATGGAGCTTGGGGGCAGCACCTCCTTGATTCTTCCCTCCCGCCCGAGGGCTTTCTTTTTTCCTTGTTTATCTATAGAAGCATTGTGTTTACTCCACCATTGGTGTCATTGGGCTGCATACTGGAAATCAGGAGGTCTGATGCAATACAATATCCCCTGTGGCTCACGCCGCGAAGACTGCATTCCTCCGAGCTGGGCCTTGGATGGCAGAGGGCACGGTTGGATACCGCCCTTTATGATTGATGACAATACAAGAACTATAATCACAATTGAAACCTATTGATTCGACCCCCGTCTCGTGACTCTTGAATTAATAGATCTCCTGTGCCTCGACTCGACCACTTTGAGACAGAAGCAAATGCGGTCTGACGCGTCGTCCAAGGAAATGACGTACTATCTATCTGTCACTGTCGATCATCCTTGCGAGTGCATCTGCCTCAGAGGCTCAGGCCACACCCCCGACAAGAGCCAGCGCGTAGCGGCAGATGCCAGAGACCGTGTGAGCACTGAGAAGGGAGGATGGCATGCTGATCAGGCCCCTTGAAGCGATGGAGGAAAAGGGGGGTGGAGACTCAGCTCAACTTACCGTGCAGTGGATTGTGGGGAGGAGACGATCGCGTTGATGGGGGCGTATGTACTGAGTACTCTTCCAGTCTTGGGCACATTGCGAGGCAGAATCCATCCGTCTGGGTAGAATGAATCACATTTGTAATGAATGCTACGTGAAGGACGTCACAGTCATATATTACATCTATCTCCACCACTACTATGCCACCCTAAAACGAAACAAGAACGCCTGAGGGCCCTGTTTCGACCCATGCCAGAAAATTGAACGGAAAGAGACGCGCTTTCGGAACATGTATATATGTGTGTGTAGTAACAAAACATCCGACACTGACATTGCGCTCGGCCATCAGTCTACCCCGTCATCCTGATAGCGAGGACTGGATGAGCCTGTGCCTCGCCCGCTGCCGTGACTGTGCTGCTTGCGCAACATGCCACTCGCGCCGCCACGGCCCCAGCCACCGTTAGTGACCACGTTCATAGCGCGGCGCTCGGCTTCGTCCCTGTCCAGACTTTCATCAAACTGCTCGTCTTCCCTGTCAATCTCGTCGAGTTCGTCCTCGATGGACCGTCCGCGCGGACTGAGTCGTCGGAGCGGTACGTCTTCGGGCTGTGGTCCATCTGCGTACAGGTTCGGATCGCGCCCTAGGATGCGGTCGGCCTTGCTGGGCGTGCGTCGGAGTCCTTCGCGGGGCGAGGGACTATTGTACCTGTCCCCGGGGAAATGCCTTCCTGCACCAGACGCGTGGACCCGGGTGATCATGGGCGGTTCCTCCACGGCTTGGCCAAAGTCACCGCCCCAGCCAGCACTGACCTCGCGGGCGCGTTGCTGTTCGCGTTCGGCGCGAAGACGTTCTCGTGCCTCCAGCCAACGAGGGCTAGGCTCCCAAGCCCAGCCGTCCCCGGTAGTATTACAAACGGGGACCAGCCACAGCCATGGGTCGTGCCCAAATAGGTGCTGTAGGTTACGTCTCCAACCGAGATCGAACGCATTCGGTAGCTTGGACGAATCTTGCTCGTCGAGGTATTCGTCGTAGCGTTTCCTCGACTGCTCCGCCTCCCTCTCGGCGTAGCTCATGTGCACAGGCCGAGCGCCATCCAGATTCGGACCAGCACGAGGCAGCTCCATCGTGCGGCGCTCCTCGCCCTCTTCGGGCCTCGTCACGCCCGGGACGGCGTTGGCGTGAAAGTCCACAATCTGCTGCGCCGCGCGCGGGACGTTGTTGGCGGGATCGTGGGCCTGGTGAAAGGTCTTGCGCAGGGGCGACAGGTAGCGCGTCTTCTCGAGACATTCAATGGTCGTCTGCCCGCGCGAGGCCAGGTGAATGTGCCAAGCGGTAAAGGCCCCGACGACAATCGCAATGATGCCGCTCATGACCGCCAGCATGATAAAGTTGACGGGCAACAGTGTGTCCATGTAGCGAGTGTTGTTGAAGATCTCCACCCACGTCCACCATCCGCTGACAGCGAAGCAGTAGAAGCAGAAGACCGTGGTGTAGATGAGGAACAGCAGGAAGGCCTTGTGGTTCTTCAAGCCGATGCACGTCGCGAGCCAGGGGCAGTGGTGGTCCATCTTGAGCACGCAGCGTCGGCATGTCGAGCAGTGATGCGCGCGGTCGGGCTTGCGGGCCTGACACTTCTTGCAGAAGCGGTATTCGCCATTCGACTTGACGGTGAAGGAGGTCGCATTGTTCTGGTTGCTTTGGTTCATGGGCAGGACGCTGTAGCCGTCGTCGTTTGTCGTCGAGCCGGGATTCGTGAAGACGGCGGTGGTATAGGACCAGTTGAGCATAGCCCATAGGAGAACGCCAATGATGGACGACGTGGTGCCTGCAAAGTGTCAGGGTGGATGGGAATCTTGACGATTGGGATGCGACGGCCATGTTACCTATCCAAGCACTCCTAGTTTCTGAAGCACCTATTTGTACGATGACCCATGCTGCCCAGCTGGTCAACCCGTAGACAAAGCCCAAAGGCATGTATTTGGCAGTGGTGCAACATGCTCGCTCGACTCGTCGGGCCCAGCGGCGAACCATCATGTTGTGAGGTTATATCGGCAGTGTGAGCATGACCTGGGCGACGATCCGGTCGTGAAGTTTCCGCAGTATTGTACGATCAGGCCGAAAAGAACGAACGTTTCAGTGGTCGATCCGCGATGTCCACGCAGTCGGAATGAGAGCACGCGCCGAACCCTGATCCCGTAATTAAAGTCCAAAGAACCAGAGGCTGGAGCCTGGCCCTTAATAAATCTGATCGTTGGGTGGTACGTATCCCAAAGTGGCTTAGGTCAAGACTCCAGTCATCAGGGGCCGTCGGCGGACCAGCGCCAAGTGTCAGCTCAGCGGGACTTTCTACTGGTCAGTGCCGTGAAACGCGACACGGATGTGGGGCTCGGGGGTCCGTGTCCTCCTGTCGCTCGGACGGTCCACGGATCACTCCTTGACTCCATGTCAATATCACGAAGTGAACGCATATTCGTTCTGTAGGTATTCGTGATGAATTCTGGTTGAACTAGTCTAGTCATTGAATCTCCAACGGATAGTATAGAAGCAGGAATCACGACCTGAATCCTTCGACGCCTCTTGCCCAGTCCCATTCCATGCCTGTCAGTCTAAGCTCGGCTCGACTATGCGCAATCGCGTGCAGCCTAGAGTCCAGCAGTAGCTAATGCGCCATCATGTGCTCAGCATGGAGCCTGGGAGTCGAGCCGCTCACCAGTAGCTGTCATCCCCAGGTTCGGGTACTTGGACGGCTTTCTTCTCGCTCTTTCTCGTGCCGCCATACGTCTCGTGGGCGGACTTGGACGTGTGGTACATTGGAGTTCCATCGTCGTGCAGATCGTCGTCGACATCGATGATACCGCCAGTCAGCTGGTCTAGGTAGGCGCCATAGTCTTTGGTGTAGCGCATGTGACATTTCGTGCTGTTGGACTCGCAATGCGCCGTCATGGAGGTAACGGACTTGAACTTGCGATTGCATGCAGGGCACGCGTAGACCACATCTCCGTGGGCTGGGCCTTTGAGATGCCCGATGAGAGCCCATTTGGTCTTGAACGACTTTCTGTTTCATGTAAGTGTCTTTTCAATCATTGCTAACGTGTATAATCGGGACTTACACGCATTGCTTTGGGCAGATCCACGCTTCCGAGTACGGACACAGATACTTGCTCACATCGAAGTCTTGGTGGCTCGGGTGATGGATATCTTGAGACTCGTATTGTTGACGCGCATGAAGCTTGGACAGGGCTGCAATTTGCTGAGGAGATGGCTTTTGTGGTGGCGCAGCGTCTGGGAACAAGTCCTTCTTGACTGTCCATGGTGCTGGCTTGTTCTGCTCTTCAAACAACTTCTGTTCAAACCAGCAACGGGCATTTGGCCGCTGACTGCTGGAATCAGACGACAAAGGGGCCTCGGAATTGTGAGTTTCTCTTTCACCCAAGGCGGACTCTTTGTTACCCTCGTCAAAAGGCTTCTTCTCGATGTCGCAGGATTCACGAGGTCGTATGTTCTCCTTCTGTCGCGCATCACCCGCAATGGGCGGCGTAGCGTCGCCTTTAGGTTTTGGCAACGATGGAAAATCAGCAGTGTCAATTTCATCGTTCTCCGGAAACTTGGGTGGTTCGCTACTGGTCAAGTCTGGATCGCGGACCACCCATGAACCAACCACGGATGGTACCTTGGTAGATGCTGGCATGTACAAGTTGCTGAACGCACCCTTGACGGGGCCCTTTGCCAGTTTCTTCAGGTCGTCCATAGCCTTTGCTTTTTCGATGCGCGCATCTTCTATCTCGCTCGCCGTGATTCGAATGCACTCGCCGGATTCAATGTGTGCCATCAAGGCCGACACACGTCCGAAGGGACCATGGCCGCAACCCGGACACTGTAGGACCTGCTCCTGCGGGTGTTTCTATGCCATGTCAGTTATGTTCTTCCTTCTCAAGCCCCAAAAGTTCAAACATTTCGCATGTGGTAGCTTTCGCCATCGAGGGTTTGGAAATCCTGGCCACAAATCTTGCAATGAATATGGTTTTCTGGGTTCTTGTCTCGCTTCTCGGCCTTGTGTTCCATCAACTTCTCATGCGTAGCAAATAGGACATTGCAGACAGTGCAGATGTGCTGGCCGTAGCCTTGTTGCTTCTTTCGGTTGAAACGCGGCATCTTCGTCTTAGGGAAGAATGTAAGAAGTGTGAGTAAAGCAGAAGGGCAATGTGATTTAGAGGTGTGAAAGAGTAGTAGGTAAGTAAGTAGTAAGTTGGAAGAATGAGCTAGAAAGATCTCCAAGTACCTGATAAAAAACAAGGTTGACTCAGAGGGCCTGTCTGATATCGGTTGTTTTGAGGCCATCGGGCGAGGAAGGTGCTGAAGAGAAGGAGTTTATAACCACCTCATGTTAGGCTCCGCGGGCCTCACAATGGAGGAATCAAGTAGGAGCCTAGATGATGATGACTCAAACTGCCTGGACTGCTTCAGAGGCAATCCCAACATCAGATGAGTTAATCAAGATCGCCTCGGAGAGGTGCGAATCTTCGTCCGCAAGCGCAGTTGCTTCTGGTTCTCCCTGCGCGCTTGAGTCCTATGGGAAGCAAGGCGTGTTCGGAAACTCGATCTTGCCTTTGTCACGCCTCAGTATCTCGACATTTGCGTACGAAGAAGGGTGAAAGATATCAGATGCCATAGTCATGTGCAACCTGTCAGAAACCTTCCATAATAACCCTCCAACTCCTCGCTTCGCAGTCCATATGCATTACATTGGGACTTCCGGGTACTCGTAGCTCCTCTCCTGCTCCCCAAGTCCCGGAACATCGACGATATATGTGTTTCGTCTCTCATGCTCGATGCCATGTTGTGCGTTTGCCTCACGGTGGCCTTGATCGTTCTCCTCTTCGTCGGCTTCGTCCTCATTATCCGTATTCCCAGGCAAGTATCCGACAAAGTCGAAAGTCCCGTTCGCAGCTTCGTCGTCGTAATCTGCATCATCATCATCATCCTCTTCATCCACATCCATGTTCATGTCCCCCTCTGCTTCGTCATCGTCGTCATCGTCGTCGTCATCGGCCTCCCCAACCTCCGTGTAGGCTCCTGATGCCGTCACCCCGCCCCCTGTATCAGAGTCATGGGGTTTCTGGGAGACCTTGACCTTGGTTGAATAGCCAGCATGCCTGGACTTCTTGTTCGAGGTTGACACTGAGCCCCTCAACTCCACGAGCTCTTCGTGGGTCAGGTCTAGATGGGGCAACGGAATCGAAGCAGTTCCCTGCACTGCTCTCGTAGGCGTAGCGTCGCCCGTGTCCAACGTTGCCACAAAGTGTTGCCTCGTCAATGTGCGGTCGAAGCGGATTGCTATTAGCCTTGTTTTCATGATGGCTTTGACTTTTGCCCACGCGCCTCCCTGATAGAAGCCACTGTCTTCATCCCGAGGCTCCCGGATGGGAGCGTTGTCCAGCACCTCCCTGATAATGGGGTCAGTGATGTCGCAAACCTGCCAGACTTTGCCATCCAAGTGGTACGTCTCTCCGTCAAATATGTGGCTTTTGGACAGATCAGGCTTGAAGGTATTGTCTGTGGCACCTTGCTTCCCCCTTATGGAATACCACGCCTCATACTGATACGCCTGCTTGTGCTGGGGCAGGAGTTTGAACATGACAGTTTGGTATTCTCTGTACTTCGGGTCGGTCCTCGGATCTATGCCATAAGGCACAACGCAGTCCCTCCAGGGACCACCCTTGAATTGATAGGCGACGTAGTTGAGGTAGATCTTGAGCTCGTTCCAGCCTCGCAGTTTGTCACCGAGGTGGTTCATTAGCGATCTACGAGTCCAGATAGGTCGTTCCGCAAAGGCGGCTTCTAGCTCAGCCAGGACCATGACCGTCCTAGCATCCGTCATATCAGGAGGATGGCGGGGACCGGTGGGAGCCGGCGCTTCAGCGCCAATGAAATGGCCAATGTGCTTGACAGCCGTGGCGTTGAATGTCTGCCCATCCTCTGTCATGCGTACGTATGGGTTCTGCGCGTAGAAGTAGTTGAACGGGATGCCCAAGTGCGTGAAGCTCGGTGGCGGAAGAACATCGACGTTGGGCGGTTGATCAGCGCCGGGCTTGAATTCGAACTTCTTCATGTCCTCGACTACACAAATCAGACAGGCGACCACAGAAGCGAAAGGATGCAACTCACCGTCTCCAGGGTACACCTGTTCAACGTATCGCCTGGCGAAATCGGACCGCTTTGCAACGTTCCACTGGAAGTCCGCTAAGCTTCTGAACCGATGAGAATGCTTCACCATGCCCACTGCCTCGATGCCGTAGCTTTCGAGGTTGTCAATGAGTTTACGCCTCAGCACTTTGGGTTCGTCCAGGCGCGCTTTCGAACAGACGTCCTCATCCCCTGCGGTTTCCGACTCAGTCGGTTGGCCTTCCCAAGGCCCGTCAAACCCTCTCTTCCTTTTCCTGCCCGTTCGCCGGGGGACTGTGATTTTGAGGACAACATTATGGGTCCTGGCATTATGTGACATGACAGGTCGGCAGAGAGCGCTCTCTGGATTCAGATACAAGGGCACGGAGTGTGTCTGAGAATCTAGCAGCTGGTCTACAGTCAGCTGGGTCAAGGTAGTCAGTTAAGCAAGTAGGGCTTCACATTAGACAAGTCTGGCCGTCGCCCAAACGCCCGGATGGCACGGTCGACATTCTGAACATTCGCCGGTAACTCGACGGCGGCCAAGTTCCGCCGCGGGATCACGAAACGTGGCGCCCCAAAATTGGCATCTCCATACTCGTCCTCGGCCACCTCGTCGTCGTTCTGTGGTGAGCTGTGATTGCTTCTTTGGCGATCGATATCCATTCTGCGTTGGCCTCAATGGGCGTATCGATTCAGTTGAGACATGAATCGCGCAGAGAAATTCAAGCTTTTTGGAACCCTAGCTCGCAATGTTCCGTGACAATGATAAAAATTCGGTGATGTAGTCGTTTCGTAGTACACAGTGATGCAAGATTCGCCGAGCACGCGAATGAAGGCTTGGCAGTGTTTACAGCGACACTGTGCGGAAACAACCTTGCGTACCACGCAATTCAGACTGCGAAGTTGAGAACAATGCGTCCCGAGCACAGACGATTAGCTGAACGACGACAAACGTGACGTTCATTAAGAAAAGGATTGCTGCAGCAAGTAGCTCCCAGCTGTTATTAAGCCTCGCTCCGAGCGACAGCTTTCGCTGATTGCAAGATCAGCCATTCAGTCTAGGGTGGGCAGAAGCGCTTCCAGTTTTCGCGATACGCTCGCCTTCCTCGGCTGATCGAAAGACGAGCATCACAGATCAGTAATGAGAAATGAACAGGAAAGACATAATTATGCCATCGCGAAAGCCGCCCCTTGGCACCATTGTCTTTACTGCCAGACAATCTTCATAAAATGGGCTCTCATGAGTGACCATATGATGCAGGAACAGGGAAATTCTTCAGGGGCTGGGCACAGTCACACACACTGTGTGTCCATGATGGTGCAGTGACGGAGTTTCCAGAGTTGCACCTGTGACATGCCATGCGCAACAAATCACTCGACATCGCAATTCTAACTGGACGCAGACTCACAGCGAGCCCATGCTCACAGCAGTATTCGGTAGTCTAAGCTATGTATAAAAGATAAGACTATGCCTTCTGTGCTGTCTTGGGCATAGCAAAGCGCACAGTGACAATATGCACATAGGTGTCTTAGCGTGCCTTAGCCGGGGGTACTATAGTGCCGCCAATCGACCAGTGCAGTGCTGCAATAGTCGCTCGAGCCACTGTAATAACGCCGGCTCGGTCAGCCAGCCAGCATCCGCCTGATACGGCAGCTTTGGATCCCCTCTCCGGTCCTGCCACCTCGAGGCTTGTGAGCAGCTCCTGGTCCAGTCTTGTTTCGTTTCGTGACCTCCAGGCAGTTTTCGCAACTGGAGCCGCACTGTATGCTTCACGACTAGCTCGCGACCGAACAGTGACCTTCTGGTATCTTCGTCCTCGATACCAATACCTGCGTTCTCAAGCTCAGAAGCTTTCAGTACACCAGGTGCAACATCGATCAGCCGAAGCACCAGAGACCCGACGCGACCCCTGCCCGGTCCTCCACACAATCTCGCGGAGCTGTGTGGGCGTTGGAACCCCAGAGCCTGAGCCTGAGCCTGAGCCCGAGCCCGCCTCCCAATCGCCCGCCTAGCCTGCTTGGCCACTCACTCGTCGACGTGATCCATCTTCCCAAACTCAGCCCCCTCAACAGCAACGTGCTGTCGACGATTGACTTTCTTATCGATTCCTCACATCGTGAACGATACTTGCTACCGACCGACGCAACGCGACGAAATCTTCAACCCTCTTGCGAGGGCGCTTGCGCTCGCAATTCCACCTCCCGACATCGAATCGGTGCTACCTACACCTCCTCATCCCGCCCCACCGCGCCGCCTCGAATCGTCACCCAGCTTGACCCCCAAGCGCGCTCCTAGCTGCAGTTACACTCTACAAGGTCCTCACCGGCTGGGATATGCTTCAGTCTGACAAAATGAAGCGCTTCAGTCAACGTGTGGTGAGTCTTCCCGTCGCTTACCAAAGGTTCTCCTCAATGTTGACCGTCCGCATAGCTGTCGCGCGGCAAGGACCCTAGCAAATCATCCAAGAAGAATAAGGATTCCAAAGACGGCACGGCGTCCCCATCTTCACGCGACAGCAACAATCAATCTCCGAATCTGACGCCCTCCTCCTCGAGCTCGAATCTTACCGACAGCCGCAACAAGAACGCGCCCGGAGGTGCCGCGGGCGCGGGAGGGGACCACGCTGCTGGTCAGCCTTCCAACTTGTCCAACATAGTCCAGTCGGGGAGCGTGGCGGATCGCTTTGGTCCATCTGGCGGTGCCAACAGCCCTAATGGTGGCAGCGCAAACTCGAGGACGCCCCCGTCCGTGGTTGTCAGTCAAACGCCCGGGGTAAGTCTCCTTTCGCAATAGCAGCGGGATCAAGAACAACAGGCATTGACCAAGAACAGCACGTTCCTCCGCCAGGTGCTGCAGAGACCATGCCAACAGATCTTGCCCCGCCTAAGGCAGGCCAGAAATCAATGCTGCTACACCGAGGCATCGACAACCGCGATGCGATTCCTGAGGGTCTACGAACGCCGAAACGACAGCATTCGTCTCGCTTCGACATCTCCGCCCATCGCGAACTCGAGAAGCTACCAGGATTCCATGAGGTGCCGCCCAACCGCCGTCAAGAGCTGTTCATGCAAAAGATCGATCAGTGCAACGTCATCTTTGACTTTAACGATGCCAGTGGTGATATGAAGTCGAAAGAGATCAAACGCCTGGCGCTTCACGAGCTTCTCGACTATGTCGCCAACAACAGACAGGTCATCACAGAGCCCATGTACCCTCGAGTCGTGGACATGTTCTCCAAGAATTTGTTCCGACCCATTCCGCCGCCGATCAACCCCCAAGGCGAAGCTTTCGACCCTGAAGAGGACGAGCCTGTGCTCGAAGTCGCGTGGCCGCACATCCAGGTTGTCTATGAGTTCTTCCTGCGGTTCATCGAAAGCCAGGACTTCAACACCAACATTGCGAAAGCCTACATCGATCACAGCTTCGTGTTGCAGCTGCTGGAGCTTTTCGATTCGGAGGATCCCCGCGAACGCGATTTCCTCAAGACGACGCTTCATCGCATATACGGAAAGTTCCTCAACTTGAGGTCCTTTATCCGTCGCTCGATCAACAACGTATTCTTCCAGTTCACGTACGAAACAGAGAGGTTCAATGGCATCGCCGAGCTCCTGGAGATACTCGGCTCCATCATCAACGGTTTCGCACTGCCACTCAAGGAGGAGCACAAGATCTTCCTAACCCGGGTTCTGCTTCCATTGCACAAGCCCAAGAGTTTGAGCATGTATCACCCGCAACTGGCGTATTGCATCGTCCAGTTCCTGGAGAAAGATGCATCTCTAACCGAAGATGTGAGTAGCCGCTCTTGCAAATTAGCTTTGTACGTCTCACTGATGTGTCTAGGTCGTTCTGGGTCTTCTGCGCTATTGGCCCAAGGTGAACAGTACCAAGGAAGTTATGTACTTGAACGAGGTCGAAGACATCTTCGAAGTCATGGACCCGGCCGAATTTGCCAAAGTGCAAGAGCCGCTGTTCCACCAGCTCGCCAAATCCGTTGCCAGTCCTCACTTCCAAGTCGCTGAGCGTGCTCTGTACTTTTGGAACAATGAGTACTTCTGCAACCTGGTCAGCGATAACGTAGAGATCATTCTCCCCATCATGTTCGCGCCTCTCTACGAGAACTCGAAGGGACACTGGAATAGGTCAGTCCTATCACCGATTCTGCGCGTGCACGACCAGGCTAACCCGCAATAACAGAACAATCCATGGCATGGTATATAATGCCATGAAACTTTTCATGGAGATCAACCCCCAGTTGTTCGACGACTGCTCGCATGAGTACACCGAGCAGCAGAACAGCGCTGCTGCTCGGGAAGCCATGCGTGAGCGCAAATGGGCCGCTTTGGCCGAGAGGGCCGAGCAACAGAGAGAGATCAACGGCACCGGTCGCGCGCAAGGCGGGAACCTGGACCGAGTGGACGAAGTCGACCCTGCAGCCGAAGAGAACCAGAAGCGTCTCGACTCACTCAACCTCCAGGATAATCCGGGGCGCCGCCCAGCGCACGAGCGACAGGGCTCGGCAGCATCGGCCGGGAGCCGATGATAGAGGCGAGGCGACGTTGAACACGCAAAGGGAAAAGAAGGAAAGCCGAGGCGGACAAGGACAAGAAGACTTGCGCCACTGCCTCTGCATCGTTGGTCATTTTACTGGCGTTTTGAGGAAAGCACACTGTACACCTTGGGTGGATCGTCGCGTATTGTGGAATTGCCAAAGGGACCTGTCCTGCCACAGGTGAGGTGGCTGGCGATGACGGGGAGGGTGGACGGGCATAGACGACTCACGAAAAAGCATATCGTTCGTGCGGCACGTCTTGGCGGTTTTTGGGCTTGGCTAGGGGGCCTGGGGTCCATCCCTTTGGCCGATCGTATTATTACTTCTCCCACCTGTTCTTTTGTTGCGCACCACGAGTCTATACGAGGATTCAATAGATAGGTCAAGTCCGCCCTTTGTGCGTATAATGTGATCTAGACCACTACCATAACAACTTTCTTTCTCCGATAAATTCTCCTTCCATTGCTTCTTACTCAAAGTCATCCCCTGCCCCGTCCTCTGCCCCAGGAGCCGCCCCCCCTGCCATAGCCGCGACCCTGCCCAGGATGCTGCCAATGGTGTCGGTCTTGATGACCTCTCTGTCCATAGCCGCCCTGATAGTAGTGGCTTTGAGGGTCATTTTGCAGCTGGGGTGGCGGCGGAGGAGGCGGACCACCGCTCCACGCGCTTGGTGCCATCATATTCGGAGGAATCATCATTCCAGGCATCCAGCCGCCTGGCGTCGCGTTCGGCGAAGGTGCAGGAGGCGGCCACGGTCCATTCCAGCCCGGGGGGCGAGGTGGTGGAGGAAGGTTTCCCGATGGGAGCCCCATCTGATTCAACGGCGGGGGCGGAGGGGGCGCTTGTTGATGCTGCTGTGATCTGGGTGGAGGGGGAGGAACCTGTGAACCTAGGCGAGATCTTCCGGGCGAGCGAGAACGTGATCGGGAGGGAGACCGGCTGTACGGTCGGCGAAGATAGGGGCTGCGGGATCTACTACGACCCGACGAGCTTCCGCGTCGGCCTCTGTTACCATCATATAAGCTAGATCTCGACCGGCCTCGGGGTGACGGGCTCCTTGAGTCGGGGGAACGTCTGCGACGCTTGAAGGCTGGTGTCCCTGACAGGCTTCGTGACAGATCACGCGAGTCGCTACTGGACAGTGACCTGGACCGACCTCGATGCTTGCCGTTTCTAGCGGTCTTCTGCCTTTCCTTCATCTTCTCACAGAAGGTCCGAGACCAGCCGTAGTATGTTCTGCCACCAATCACATCTCCAGTGACCTCGTCAAGGTAGACCTGCTCACCAAGTTCGTTGATTTGGCCGTAAGGCTCCTCATCAGCTTTGCGCTCTTTGGAGAATAGAAGCTCGACATCGCGGAGAAGGTCCTTAACAGCAGTCACAAGCTTGGGGTCGGCGGGGCCCGGCGCGAGCTGTATTGGTTTGATGAGGTCGGGGAGCATCGGTCGCGTCGAATTCGGTGTGATGTGCGGTAGCCATGTTGCCGCTGGTAGATCATACCATGGCGTGGACGGGTCGCCGTGGTATGAGGGTAACGTGTACGGCGCTTCCTTGGAGATTCTTAGCGACGAGGTGACGCTTTGCGCCTCTGCGGCAGGGACTGCGGTCGAAGGATCACTCGCGGCGGCTTTGCGTAGAGTAGCCAAGTGAGCTGCGCTGACGTAGGCTTTGTTTTCCCATATGTCCAAGAGCAAAGAAAGCTTCTTCATATGCTTAGGACAGTCCTTGAACTCCGCGACGGTCGCAACCAGAACTGGCAGATGCGCCTCGAGCGCGTCCCCAAAGGAAGCATCCCCCAGGTTGGTCTTGACATGGTGCAATACGTCGTTGATCACATAAAGAAGATGCAGCCTCCTCCTGCGTACGCTTGGCTTCTCCTTGTTGTCCAGGCTCCTGCTCAATGCGACGAGGTATCTCCCCAACGCGGCGCTTCTGTTCTTTGATGGCACGACATTGGCGACGATCCAAGCTTTGCAATTCTGTTCGAAAGCCACAAAGGCGAAAAGTTTAGTGCAATCTGCGCAAGCGATAGGGGCCGCAAACTACACGTGTGTGGTGCAGTTTTGGCGATTGAGGCAAACCTGGACGTTTGGACGCGAGCACTTGGTGACGGCCGAGCCAAGGAGTGTGAAGAGATCGTCAACAGTCGTTCGGGGCAGCGAAGTCGGGTCGGCCTTGAAGAGGGAGGCGGCGAGGGCGGCTTTGGAAATACCCAGCTCTTGCGCCATGCTGACGTTGACAGAAGGAAAAGAAGAGGGCAAAACGAGGGTGATGATCAGGGAAGAAAGTGAAGCTAGCCTCGTAGATCCCGCCTGCCCAACTTGGCCGCACTGCTGGACCCCACCTGGAACTCAATTGGTTCACCTAATAAAATAATGGTAAGGGACACTGATAAATCTACGGAGGACGAGTTCAAAAGTTATGCGTTGCCAAGAAACTAGCCATAGTTGGCGTCTAGCCCGAAGTAGCCCCCCGGGAAGTTTATCACCAA